CGAGTGCCAAATCAGATCCTTTTCATTTGAGAGTGTCCTCACATTATACTCCCTATGCTTACAGATACTATGACATTACAGATACGACTTGAAAAGGGTTTCGCACCCCATTCTGGTCGAGTTGGTGTTCGCTATGGTAATTCATGGAGTACTTTATGTTACGAGGGATTGGACTACCCTGATGTAAAGGTGATATGTCGAATGCTTGGATATGTGGATGTCAATCATGTTTACGCTGTGAGGACACCAAGCTCTGCTAATGGTCGTGTCTGGCTTAGTGGTGTTGAGTGTAATGGAACTGAAGCTTCAATACTGAATTGCAGTCGCACAGGATGGTGGCAGACCACGTGTGACTTTGATGCTGTGATCACGTGCAAGACACAAGGTATATTTAAATTCTATTTTATTGAAGGCATCGTTTAGACAGCACAAGTGCTGGACCAGCTGCAACCAATGATCTTTTCCTTTATCGTTTCCAGACTTGTATTCTTCAAACATTGCTGGTAAATCGCCCCTTACATTCACATAGAAATATTGATGGCAACTTCAAATAATCTAATCAATTGTCAATTGTTCGCATTTTATTCTTTGTTTTCTTTACAGGTAAAACAGCGGTTGGCATCCGTCTGGAAACCGGTACCACACCTCATTCTGGTCGAGTTGGTATTCGCTATGGTAACACATGGGGTACTTTATGTAACAAAGGACTGGGTACGAACGATGCTAAAGTCATCTGCCGCATGCTTGGTTATGTTGGAGTGCGTCACGTGTTCACCATTCCTGGAAATGGTAATATTTGGCTCAGTGACCTTGAATGCAATGGAACAGAGGATTCAATTTTTGACTGTAGTCATTCAGATTGGTGGAAGACAAGCAATTGCACCCATGACCAGGACGCTGCCGTAACGTGCAAGTTAGGTAAAGTATTTTAACAAGGACAAACCAGAATATTACGATAACTACTGCACTGTGATTGTATTGAGAATAGCACTGATAATTGGATAATGGATGGTTGTGTATTCAGTGTCAAGCGTATATACCTATGGTGAATGTCAATTGTCAAACGCCGATTGCACGACTGAAAGTAGCCATTGTTTTTGCTAATTGATGAAAACCAAAAACTCAGTTATTTGTACTCTAAGATAGTCTGTTGTAACTATTATCTCCATTTAGTCTCCATTTCTATGCAAGGTGGACCCAGTGGGTAAAATGTGCTTATCAAAACAGTGCTACCATAGTCCCTTTCAGTCGTGCAGTCTCGCTTCGACAATCGTCGTTTGCAGTTCTCCCCGACAACGTATTTAGAAATGGGTGTATAACAAACTAGTAATGATCACGTAAATTTGACCGATTTCTCTTTCTTGGAAAGCTGATGCTCCTCACTTCCAAATCGACACGAACAACGGCATCACAGATTCTACAGTGACCATTAGCCTATCCAAAGCATCCCAGACACTAGACGCACGTTTGAAAAGGTAAATCGGACTCTGTTATCAATATTCTTAAATATTTACTCTGATAATCAACGTCTCTTTTCAGCACATATCAATTTGTAGTGGAAAAAGGTCGAGAAACACCATCGCCTACAACTTCTTGTACCAATACTTCCGTGGAGACATGTTCTACCATCACCAGAACAGTGTTTAATGATTCTTACATCGCTGCAGACTTGTCACCCAGTCCAAATGATGTTAGTTTTACCGTTGGCGATGGTCTCTATTACCATGGTTACCATAACGTACCATTAGAACCCGGATGTGTGTACAGGGTACACGTGAGAATTGCTACCATGGCAATGAATGGGGTAATTGTAGCAATCAAAAATAAAAGTTTCTGTAAATTGAAATGTCATCAATGAAAAGAAATAATCACCTCTTGCTTTGGTTTCAGAAAAATATTGTTGGAAGTCCAAATTTGCGAGGTTTGCAACAAGACCAAAAAGTGAGAAAACTTCATTCCCAACCCAAGATCCACTTGTCATTAAAATGATCTCTTGTCTTTTATATTTCAGCCGATCCACCCGTATTTCAAATATGTAACAGCAGTTCCATAAAGCAAACTTTAGCAATAATTACCTTTGTTGCCGTGCAGAATATACCAATATCAGATCGGTAAGGATCTTTTGCAAGATGAGGTTATTTTGCTTGAGGGTCACAATCCCCCATAGAGAGATATCTCTATTCATACTAATAAACTGGTTTCAAAATATCAGGGAAATATCGAAAGACTTTATTTCATTTTAGTTGGTATCAAGTTACCGTCGAAAAGACACAAGAAGTCTTCATATCCAAAGACATGAGAGTGAACCATTCTTACATCGCTGCTGAGATACCAACTACCAGGTCTACGTTCACCATCGGTGATGGTCTGAATTACCATGGTTACAATAATACACCATTAGAACCCGGATGTAACTATAAAGCTTATGTGAGAGTCGTCATCATCACACCGAATGAGGTGATAATAATCTTTATTAATAATCTTGATTACATTTAGCTAATGCAATTAAGCGAGGTTGAAAACGAGCTCGTGCGTGTTATGCCATGCTGAATGGCATGTCGTATGCCGTGGGGAACCCCTCAACCTTGAAGGATTTGTATCCATCCTCATGCGTTGTGGCGCTCATTAAGACGCTTTGTGGTTTCTTGTGAGGATCCAATCAAAGCTCCGCTGTCGGTAAATAAGGATAAATAAACATTCTCCTTTGTCGGGTGTTACAACGTGTTGGCTTACAATGGTTACCTCCTGGTCATGGCCGTAGCACCGACATGACCACTTTAAGCAACTTATCCCATTCAGTAGGTTTGTTTTTTGCTTGTTTCCTCGCTATGGAGACATTTAACTCTCAGTCTCTTTCTGGTTGTCGGTTTGAGCAAATTGGCTTTGACGAGCGAAATGCTCCTTTGTTGATTTTTCAGAAAAGAGTTATCAGCGACGCGCCATTCGTATCTTTTACAACGAAATCTGAATCTAAGAATTCCAACGGCAATGATTCATTGGTGATTGGTTTATCCGTCGTTTTGGCGATGACGATCTCTGCCATGTCTGCATTGGTTGGTTACATTGTGTATGATTTTGTAAAGAAGAGAAAGAAGCAAAAGACAGAAGATATCAATCCGCAGATCGAGATCTCAGGTAACGTGAATTACATTAAACTGTCCGTTTATTTTAACAAAATGAGATTATTTTACTGCTTTTTAAAAATGCAAACATTTCTAATGCTAATGCGTTTTCTTAGCGAAGTGGGGTGAGTGGAGGGCAATGCACCAATGCAACACAACAACACAAAATCATTAACGAAGGTCTCTTAGAAATGGGAGTGAGGGTGATACATGCCAGACCACATGTGATTTCTTCGAAAATTATGCCTTAAACGTTTAAACTAGACTTATTATATGGACGACATTGAAATAAATAATCAATACTGAAAAAGAATGGCACGAAATCTGAAATTGGCTAAAACCGACAATAATGACTGACTGGTAAGGGTATTTCCAATTGTTGTCATTATTCCAAATGTCACTTCAATTGTAATATAAAATGGTCACAATTACTATTTCGTAACAGATTTGACGGCTGCACGTGTTAATACAGGAGAAACCTCTGGCCATCAATACCAGGAGTACCTGCCACAGCGCGGCAAAAAAAGTAATTATTCTTTCCCTTACTTATTTGTGGATTATCTTAGAACGTGATGCTTGATTCGTAGACAGTTTAGGAAAAAATCTGATTGGGAAGCGTCAAATTTCCTTCGGGGGCTTGTTCAGGCCCAGTCAACATTTATGCACTTTTCATTCGCTGCAAACAATCTGTTCTTTCAGCAACAAAACGCGGTTTACACTCAAACACTTTTCATTTTTTTCGCTCATGTGACAGGAATTTTTGCGATAACGCACGTCCATTGAACTCGGTAGCAATATAAATTATGTAGACAGAGACAAACAAATTCCCAACAATGCATGGCGTTTCAGTGCTATTAGCGCTCACATGCTTTCCAAAGCCAGACGTTGCAAGGGGCTACTGGCAAAACTACGAAATGCTTTTAAAACATCTTTGGGCAATATAAAGTCCAATTGTGGAAAGGTCTTCATAATTTGCAGATTTCAAGCTTGAAAAACGATTATGAATGGTTCAGTCATTTTACTTCTAAATTGACGAGTGTAACTCGATTAGAACTTTAAACTTACAAATTGAAAACCACGTTTATGGATAGCAAAAAAAAAACAAAACACGCAAACAGGTCCTCTTGATTGCATAAATCATTTTACCTTCACAGATGCAGTCAGCTTAGCTGGTAATGATTCCCATTATCAGTCTCTCGATCCACAGAAACGATCCCAGCAAAGTGGAGGCTTTGGTATAGAATCTTCTTACCAGGTCGTTGGTGGACCGGTGAGTACTTTTTGGGTCGAGTCAATCGAGTGATTTAGATCCCGATTGCTGTAGGTTAAATAAACAATTATTGGAATTACTTTGCCTTTGCCACATTAACAAAATTATATTTCTATTGTGAATCCTGGCTGAAATTTTAACATATTCACTGATAAAAAATTAATGGTGAAGACTGAATGTGGTACGAGAATAAGTTGTACAGTTCTGCATTGGGAGGTACCAGAGTTTGATTATTGCTTAAGGACGTTCGAGGGCATTGCTACTGCGCACGCTTTCTGCGCACGCCCAAACCGGAAGCTGTCACGAAATTGCACCACGCAAAACAAAGATGGCGACCGCTCTTGTTATGTGTTTATGAGGTTTTGTACGTACTTTTCTGAACTTCTACTTGAATGAAAAAAAGGCGCTTAAAAAGCGCTTGTGGTTACTCCAAAAACTGCTTGTTATGAATATTTTTAGATTTTAATGTTTTACTATGTGTAGGAAAGAATATTTAAGTAATTTAAGTTGAAGATCTGATATTTTGGGAATTGCTTGTAATGTGTTGCTGTCAGGGCAGACATTCACCTAATTGGAAAAACCTTATAATAGAGAAAGAGCAAATTTAGTATAAGTTTGGAGGCGGAAACGTTCTATTTTTTTTTCAATTTTGCATACAGAAATGATAAAGCACTATTGACTTTGTCAATATCAAAAATAGGCCTATTTTGATGTAAGGCATGTTACAGTGTTACAATTTTGGTGTTGGTATTARATTTTACATTTTATTGTAAATCTATAAACATATTCTTAATGATGTTTGGTTCAAGGTCCAATAATTTTTCTGACAAAAACTCAGTTGTCTTCAATAATTCTATTAAGGACTCATAAAGAATTAAGTGAATAATGAATAAAGTGACAATGACATCTGGGATGCATCAATAGTATCATGGACTAAAACTTGACAGTACAACTGTTTTTTGCACAATAGGAATGAGCCTCTTTTTCTATTGTAAAAATCTTGCATGTAATAGTTGTATSTGCTTGGTGTGTTCCTGATAGCTGTTCAAAGGGATCATTTCCCTCACTGCAGAGCTATTCTTGGCAGTATTAATACATATACCTGAGAAAAGAAGTTAAGGAAACAGTTACTAATTTACACAAAGTTAATTACATTAATGTAATTTAGTGATCATTGAGGATAGAGTGTTTATGCTATGTCCATCAGAGTGGAATATCTTGCATCACTAATGTACTGCAGTTTACATTTAATAGATGAGGTGACGGTTTTGTCCGCCATTTTGGAC